GGCTCGATCCCAGGACCCTGGGATCATGACCTGAGCCTAAGGCAGACGCTTAGCCATCTGAGCCACCAGGTACCCCTAAACAAATCTTTTTTTTTTTTTTTTAAGATTTTATTCATTTATTTGAGAGAGAGGATGAGAGGAGAGAGAGAGCACATGAGAGGGGGGAGGGTCAGAGGGAGAAGCAGACTCCCCGCCGAGCAGGGAGCCCGATGCGGGACTCGATCCCGGGACTCCAGGATCATGACCTGAGCCGAAGGCAGTCACTTAACCAACTGAGCCACCCAGGCGCCCCCTAAACAAATCTTTTTAAAAAATTAAAAACTTCAGTGTCTTCTGCTGCCCTTCCCGTGACACCTTATCATTTTTGACACCTAAAATAAGACCGTCCTCTAGTTATTTCTGTTCACCTCACCCTCTTGGATAACTTTTTTTTTTTTTATATTTTATTTATTTATTAGAGAGAGAGAGAGCACAAGCAGAGGGGGAGCAGCAGGCAAAGGGAGAGGGAGAAGCAGGCTCCCCCGCTGAGCAGGGAGCCCAACACAGGGCTCAATCCCAGGACCCTGGGATCATGACTTGAGCCGAAGGCAGACGCTTAACCAACTGGGCCACCCCGGGCGCCCCTCTTGGGCAACTTTACAAATAAACGTTAAGAGCTATCAGTGTTATGCACAAATCACAGATGTTTTTCAGAGATAATCTCAAATCCCTGTGCAGATACTGTCAGCGCAGTTAGAGATGAAATGGTGATTATTTCCCGGCAAGGAGGTGAGTGCACTGAGTCTCAAACCTTTATCTTATGGTCCAGAAGACCCCTTTCTACACCTTTGTGAATGCTGCCCCTGCAGTCACTGTCCTGGCATCAACCATCAATTTGGTAAGTAGCTGTTCTTTTCAAATAACTGTTAGACTCTTAGGAGGAATAGAATCCATCTCATCATCCCATATTTCCAGTAGGAAACAGTGTATGGATGAAACCATTCCGCCTGCTGGGGCTGGAACATGGACACATAAACAGAGGCAGGATGGCGGGGTTCTGAGGAATTTAAAGAAATGCTATTGCCAGTGTCCAGCTCCTCTGGGACTGCCAGGCCTTACCCCTCCATCTTTTCTGTGCCCTGAAATCTCCTCCATCTTGTTGCTGACAAACCCACTGACCCTGAAAGTATTTCCCCTAAGACGCTTCTCTGTAGACACACGAAGGGCAAGGAGATACGTTTGTCAGCTCCCAGCCCTGAGGAGACGCCTGGCATCTGCTAATACTTGGTGGTGCTGGCGTTTGGTTTCATCATCTCTGGGAGCCAGTGTGCCTAAGCCTAACTGGTCTGTAACAGAACGTCTCCAGAATTTCTGTCCTCAGTGGACGATAGTACACTTCTAATTCCCCTTTACAGAAATAAGTCTCTTTAAAGGAAAAATGACTCAAAAACTGCAGTTTTAAAATGTGCTTTGATGTTCCTGTTCATTTAGTAATGTATTAACCTATCAGTACTCACAGGACCTCTACATCAAAGGGCACTCTAGGAGTCACGCCACCTGTCCACCCACAATTAATAAGATGGTTTATTATTCCTGCATTAATAATTCTAACCAGCTGGGTGCTTTCCCTTCTTCCCAAGAGCAGGATGCTTTTCATGAAGTTATCCATAGAATACCTGTGAGGAGAGAAGAGCTGAGCTTTATCAGTCCTTAGTGGACAGATGGGATCAGTAACCACAGTAGTTTTAGGATTCACAGGCTCAGTTGAGTTCTAGGTGATGCAAACTTTATTCGTTTTCCCATCAAGTCGATTGACCTGTTTATTGTCTAAATTCATCACGATTTAGAATAATTTTACTCTTTCCCTTCTCCCTTAACTTAGTTTGCCTCATTGATTAATTCGATTTATTTTTATCCTAAATGTGCTTCCCTCTTTCTTTTTAAAGAGTCTATTTATTTATTTATTTATTTATTTATTTATTTATTTATTTATTTGAGAGAGAGGAGGGAGGGACAAGCAGACTCTGCACTGGGCGCGATCCCACGGCTCCTAGATCATGACCTGAGCCCAAATCAAGAGTTGGAGGCTCAACCAACTGAGCCACGCAGATGCCCCTCTTTTTAAGTGCTACTATGTGAATTAAAATATCTTCCACGAAAGTTCTGTATGAGCCGTGTGTGTGTGTGTATGTGTGTGTGTGTGAGAGAGAGACATTGGAGTAGATACTGCTTTCTGAAGCCATCTGCCATTCCGTGTCTCCTCTATATCCATGGGGTGAGTACTCTTGTCAGCAGTGTGGGCTCTCTGAGAAGCATTTGGTTTACTTAGAAATACATGGTGCCGGGCGCCTGGGTGGCTCAGTTGGTTAAGCGGCTGCCTTCAGCTCAAGTCATGATCCTGGAGTCCGGGGATCGAGTCCCCGCATCGGGCTCCCTGCTCAGCGGGGAGTCTGCTTCTCCCTCTGACCCTCCCCCCCTCATGCTTTATCTCATTCTCTCTCTCTCAAATAAATAAATAAAATCTTTAAAAAAAAAAAAAAGAAATACATGGTGCCTTCTCTCTTACTTGCCCTTCTGTCTTAGCTAATCATTTTCTCATTAGCTCTATAAAATACACTCACTGAAGTTCCAGAATGCAAATCATTGCTTGGATGATGTGTTCTCTCATGCCCTCTGTTCCCACCAGAGGGTCTTATGTTTGTCAAAATTCAGTTGATTTCCTTGCCAAATTCTTAATTCTAATGTTACTTTTAAATTTTATCAATGGGGATTAACAAGAATAAAAAATAGATTATTAAAAAAATAAATAAATTTTATCATTTATTTAATATAATGTATACCAGTGGAATGCAATTGCATGTAGAAGTTTCTATTTAAGAGATTCCTTAAAAAAAATAGTGTTCTGGGGGTGGGAGGATGGGTTAGCCTGGTGGTGGGTATTGAGGAGGGCACATTCTGCATGGAGCACTGGGTGTTATGCACAAACAATGAATCATGGAACAATTCATCTAAAACTAATGATGTAATGTATGGGGATTAACATAAGAATAAAAAATTAAAAAAATTAAAATTAAAAAATTTAAAAAATGTTCACTTCATCAGCACATATGCTTAATAAATAAATAAATAAATAAATAAATAAATAAATAAATAAAAATTAAAAATTCCTCACTTTAAAAATTTTAGGTCCTTACAATAAAATTCGACATGAGGGTTAAAACTATAAATGATTAGGATGTAATATATAATCTATGACATTCTGTACTCAGACGATTTGTGAAACATTTTGAAATTTTCAGTCCACTAATTTTTTTTAAGATTTTATTTATTTATTTATTTACTTACTTACTTACTTACTTATTTATGAGAGAGAGAGAAAGAGAGAGGGAGAGCACAGTGGGAGAGTGAGAGGGAGAAGCAGACTCCCCAATGAGCAGAGAGCCTGATGCAGGGCTCCTTCCCAGGACCCTGAGATCGGGACCCCAGCCAAAGGCTTAACCTACTGAGCCACCCAGGTGCCCCTTTAGTTCACTTAAAGAACTCTAGTAGTTAAATAGCAGTTGTATTTAATTCACTTTTTTTTTATAGACACAAAGGATGATATAAAATATTTATCAGGAGATCCATAATAAAAATTGGATCATATGAGAAATTATAGAAAATTAGGTACCTTAATGGTGAAATATCGAATGTCATTTATTTTTTTTTTTTTAAGATTTTATTTATTTATTTGAGAGAGAGAATGAGAGACAGAGAGCATGAGAGGGGGGAGGGTCAGAGGGAGAAGCAGACTCCCCGCCGAGCAGGGAGCCCGATGCGGGACTCGATTCTGGGACTCCAGGATCATGACCTGAGCCGAAGGCAGTCGCTTAACCAACTGAGCCACCCAGGCGCCCTCAAATGTCATTTATTATTTAACTTCTATTTTCATAAACATATATGAGATGAGCATTTAATATGTGTTTATGATTATTTTCCTCCTAAAATACTTTTTTAATAAAATTTGCTCGAATTTTTGTCTTTTATCAAATTGATTAATAGGGGTACTGAAAATTGTCAGGACAGCTTCCTCTATATAATTTATGTATCCAATATTTTAATTGGGTTGCATTAAAAAAAAACTTGTAGTATCTTTTTTTTTTTTTAAGATTTTATTTATTTATTTGAGAGAGAGAGATTGTGCACTAGAGCACAAGAAGGGGAGAGGGAGAAGCAGACTCCCGGCTGAGCAGGGAGCTGGATGAGGGACTCCATCCCAGGACCCTGGGATCATGACCTGAACCAAAGGCAGATGCTTAACCGACTGAGCCACCCAGGCGCCCCTCAAATGATGTATTTCTTTAATTCACTGGAAATATTAGTAGCCAAGTTGGACCTGATACGATTGGTGACCGAAAGTTTCAGAATGCTATTTTATTGACAAATAAATACCAAAAAAGGCCAAATGCTTTTCTTTGTCCCTGACCCAACCGACTGAAGCTCACAAAAATGACTTTAACACGTCAGGCTGCATGTATTTAAAGAGCGGTAAGCTTATTCGCTTCCAGCTACCAGTGGATGTCCACTAGAGTTGGCTTCATAGAGTCTGAAATAATGTGGAAACACTTCAGTGGATCAGTAGCACCAAAGACTTTAAAGGGCACTTAAGACTCCCCAGAAGTTGGCCCGCTGCCCCTTTAAGAAGAACCGAAGTCCTTCCCCCACCCTAGAAGTATAGGAGGGTCATTTCCCTTAGGCCTCGCCTTGCCATTTGATCACTTCTCTGAGAGTTCCTGGTGTTGGGCGCCCCTCTTCCAGGCCTGAAGGACGAAGGAACTACATTACCCAGAAAGCTTTGCGTTGAGCGGCAGCGGTAATAACCCAATGAAAACTCAGAAAGGGAACATTCCCGGCAGGACGAACCGCCTTGAGGCGGTGCTTCCGTCGTTTCCGTGGCGGTCGTTTTAGCGGTTCGGGGGTCTTTGGGCTCGGTCAGAGGACCCGGAACACGGGTTGGAGCCCAGGCGACGGACAGGGAAGGCACGAGAGGAGGCTTTGTCCCCACTGTAGGGAGGCGGGTCTAGGGTCGGGGGTATCGCCGCCTGCGAGGACCGCCTGGAGACCTCGGTGCCCGCGACTGCCCGGGTCGCTCAGCTGTCATCACCTCACTCCGCCCAGAGGCTCCGATGGCGGCGGCCGCGCGCAGGGACCCGGCTCCGGTAAGCGCTCGTCCCCCCACCCAGACCCCCGCGGCCCAGGCCCCGGCGTCCGGGACAGGCAGGCGGCGGCGGGCGGGGGCCCCGTGCGGGAGCGGGCTCCGGGCCGAGGGCGGCCGGGGCCGAGGCTGGAGGGGGGCTGAGGCGGGAGGATTCTGCCCTCGGGGGACAGAGAGCGTGAGGCCGAGTCGCGCCTGGACTGCGGGCCGAGGTGCCGTACCTTCGTTCTGAGGGCCCTGGGACCCGCGGAGAATTTTGAAGAAAAGAGAGACATGGTGTACGCTAGGGCTTGAGAAAGCCTCCACAGTCTGTCCAATAGAACAGATTGTAGGGGGTGATAGGGGGAGCTCGAGTCTTTTTCCAAGGACACACAGCACAGAGGTTGGCCAGTCTGCCCGAGGTTACCTGGCTCTGGTGCCCCCCAGGGACACAGGGAAGGCCTGAGCCCCTGGAAAGTCGCCATGGTCACATCCCTCGAAGACCTGCCTCTTCCCACAGGTTTCCATGGTTGCAGAAGTGCTTTTGGAACCTACACAGGTGAGTGGAGGTGTACCAGTCCCTCACTGGTCCCGTCCCACATTTTGTCCAGATTTGGGGTGTCATGAGACTCTTCACCTGCCATTCTCCCAGCCCTTGAGTTTGGGGGCCCTGAAGAATCCTAGCTGAGGGTCGAGTCTAGGCCAGGGTTTATATGGAGGGATTCTCATTTGGGGCCATCAAAGGAAAGAGATGTGGAAGCTTATTACAAAAACAGGTGTTGGTATGTGGAACTGCTTGGAGGTGAGGCTAAGCTCATTCAGGTAATGGGCCTCCTTTCTTTCTGGTGAGAACAAACTGGGGCAGTGCGCCAGAGTCAAGCTCAGAATGACGGTGAAGTTAAACATCCATCTGGAGGCAAGGGAAGGTCTGGATCGGAGGAAGAATGTGATTTTTTAAAAATTTGATTCATTTATTTGAGAGAGAGAGTGTGAGAGAGAGCATGAGGCCAGGGGTGGGGGAGGGCAGAGGGAGAGGAAGAAGCAGGCTTCCCACGGAGCGGGGAGCCCAAAGCAGGACTGCATCCCAGAACCCTGAGATCTTGACCTGAGCCAAAAGCAGACACTTAACCAACTGAGCCACTCACGTGCCCTAGAAGATGATTTTATCTAGGTCTTAACACACTCCATCTGGTTGCAGAGTGGGGCACAGAGTGAACACAGCGATTAATGGGAGTATAAGGAAAGTGCAGACACCAGTGACACCAGAGTCTGGTATCTCCTCTGATTTGGGGATCTTGGGAGGAGGAGGGACATGGGGTAGATGTGTGGGGATATGGATTATGGGTCTTCAGGAGTGAGGCTCTTCGTGGTTTCATCTTTCTTTATCCTGGCAGGGAAGTGTGACTTTTGAGGACGTGGCCCTATATTTCTCCTGGGAGGAATGGGATCTCCTAGATGAGGCTCAGAGATGCCTGTACCATGATGTGATGCTGGAGAACTTTGCACTCACATCCTCACTAGGTAAGGCCCTCACATCTACCCCTGTGCCCTGGGCAAGGCTCTGCCTTTCTCTTTTCTGTAGGGGCAGCTCTGTCTCACATCAGAACGATGGATACTGTTGCCTTCCCCAATTCCCTGGGTAGGTGCTGTGGTTTCTAGAGCTGTACTGAGTGCATGCCTACTGCTCTTCCTTTATTGCCACAACACCTGCTGTTTCAAACCCTCACAGGAAAGGATTCAGGATCAGTAGCCTTAATGTCAGCCTAATGGATCTTCCCCATTGAATGGTCTAGACTAGAGTCTTGGCCTCCTTGTAGAAAATCATTTGACCATATATGCAAGAGTTTATTTCTGGAGTGTTTATTCTATTGCATTGGTCTATATTTGTCTTTATGATATTATCACAGTGTTTTGACTACTATAGCTTTGGAGTAAAATTTTAAATTAAGAAGTGTGACTCCTTCAACTTTAGTCTTTTTCAAGATTGTTCTGACTATTTGGTGTCCTTGAGATTCCATGTGAATTTTTCTTTTTTTTTTTTTTAAAGATTTTATTTATTTATTTGACAGAGAGAGAACACAGCAGGGGCAGTGGGAGAGGGAGCAGGCTTCCCACAGAGCAGGGAGCTTGATGTGGGGCTCTATTGCAGGACCCTGGAATCATGACCCGAACCAAAGGCAGACGATCAACAACTAAGCCAGACAGGTGCTCCTCCATGTGAATTTTTCTATTACTACAAAAAATTTCGGATTTTGATAGGGATTGTATTGAATCTGTAGATGGTTTGGGGTAGTACTGATATCTTAACAGTATTAAATCTTTCAATCCATGAATATAGATGTCTTTCCACTTATTAATTTCATTAATTCCTTTTAGCAATATTTTGTAGTTTCTTGTGTTCATATCTTTTACTTTCTTGGTTAATTTCTAAGTATTTTATTCTTTTTTTTTTTTTTAAGATTTTTTTATTTTATTTATTTGAGAGAGAGAGAATGAGAGACAGAGAGCATGAGAGGGAGGAAGGTCAGAGGGAGAAGCAGACTCCCTGCTGAGCAGGGAGCCCGATGCGGGACTCGATCCAGGGACTCCAGGATCATGACCTGAGCCAAAGGCAGTCGCTTAACCGACTGAGCCACCCAGGCGCCCGTAGTATTTTATTCTTTTGATACTATCATAAATATAAATGTTTTCTTAGTTTCCTTTTTAGATTGTTCTTTTTTTTTTTAAGATTTTATTTATTTATTTGACAGAGAGAGACACAGTGAGAGAGGGAACACAAGCAGGGGGAGCAGGAGAGGGAGAAGCAGGCTTCCCGCAGAGCAGGGAGCCCAATGTGGGGCTTGATCCCAGGACCCTGGGATCATGACCTGAGCCGAAGGCAGACGCCCAACGACTGAGCCACCCAGGCGCCCCGATTGTTCATTATTGTACAGAAATAAAAATGTTTTTTTTATGTTCTTTTTGTATCCTGTTATTTTGCTGACTTCATTTATTCTAAAAGCTTTTTAAGTCTTTAGGTCTAGTTTTCTGTGTATAATGTATTTACAAGCAAAGATAATTTTACTTATTCCTTTCCCTTTGGATGCCCTTCTTCTCCCTCCTCCTCCCCCCCCCTTTTTTTTCCTGTCTGGAGCTTCCAATACCATTTTGAATAGTAGTAGTGAATGTTGGCATCCTTCTTCCTGATCTTTGAAGAAAAGCTTTCAGTCTTTCACTGTTGAATATATTAGTCATGGGTTGTAATCTTTTACTATGTTAAGGTAGTTTCCTTCTGTTCTTATTTGTTGACTATTTTCATCATGAAAGGGTGTTAAATTTTGATAGATTATTTATTTATTTATTTATTTATTTATTTGACAGAGACACAGCGAGAGAGGGAACACAAGCAGGGGGAGTGGGAGAGAAAGAAGCAGGCCTCTTGCTGAGCGGGGAGCCCGATGCGGGACTCAATCCCAGGACCCTGGGATCATGACCTCAGCCGAAGGCAGATGCTTAACGACTGAGACACCCAGGCACCCCCGATAGATGTTTTTTATGCATCAGTTGAAATGATCATAAAATTTTTTCCTGATTCTGTGAATGTGATGTATTACATTGATTAATTTTTGTATGTTGAACCATCCTTTCGTTCTAGAAATAAATCCCAGTAGGTCATGGTGTATAAGCCTTTACTTTGCTGAATTCAGTTTGCTAGTATTTTGTTGATGATTTTTTACCTTGATGAATTGTCAAGTATATTGGTCTACAGTTTGCTTGTAATGGCTTTGTCTGTTTTTTATAAAAATAGGTGTGTGTTCTTCATTAAGTGGTTGGCAGAACTCACCAGTGAAACCATCAAGTCAGGGCTTTTTCTTTTTTTGCTTTTTCCAAAGGAAAATGGAGTTTATTTTATTTTTAATATTTATTTATTTGAGAGAGAGATATCACGAGCAGGGAGGAAGGGTAGAGGGAGAAGCAGACTCCGCGCTGAGCAGGGAGCCTGATGTGGGACTCAATCCCAGGACCCTGGGATCATGACCTGAGCTGGAGGCAGATGCTTATGTAAACAACCGAGCTATCCAGGGGCCACAGGGCTTTTCTTTGTCAGGAGGTTGTTTTTGTTTTGTTTTGTTTTTTTAAGATTTTATTTATTTATTTGACAGAGAGAGACATAGTGAGAGCAGGAACACAAGCAGGGGGAGTGGGAGAGGGAGAAGCAGGCTTCCCGCGGAGCAGGGAGCCCGATGTGGGACTCGATCCCAGGACCCTGGGATCATGACCTGAGCCGAAGGCAGACGCTTAACGACTGAGCCACCCAGGCGCCCTGTCAGGAGGTTTTTGATTAGTGATTCAGTCTCCTTACTAGTACTCTTATAATCTCTTTTAGTTCTGTAGAATTGGTAGTTATGTTCCCACTGTAATTTTTCATTTTACTATTTTAGTTTTCCTTCTTTTTTTTTTTTTAAGCCAATTTAGGTAAAAGTTTGTCAATTTTCTTTTTTTTTTAGAGATTTTATTTTTAAGTAATGGGGCTCAAGCTCAACTCCAAGATCAAGAGTCATGCTCCACTGACTGAGCCAGCCAGGCACCCCAAAAGTTTGTCTAAATTTTGATAGCAGTTTTCAGTTTCGTTGATTTTTCTTTATTGTTTTTCTTGTCTCTATCTCAGTTCTAATCTTTATTATTTCTTTTTCTGCTAGCTTCGGGTTTCTTGGATCTTTTTGTAGTTCTTTAAGTTGTAAAGTTAAGCTCTTGATTCAAGATCTTCTCCTTTTTAATGTAAGTGTTTATAAGTTTCCCTCTTAGTGCTGCTTTTGCTTCTTCACATAATTTTTGCTGATAGTGTCTTTTCATTTTCATTTGTCTCTAAATCTAAGTATTTTCTAGTTTTCCTTGTGACTCTTCTTTGACCCATTGGTTGTTTAAAAATGATTTAATTTTCATAGGTTTGTGAATTTTCCAGTTTTCCTTCAGTTTTTGATTTCTAACATCACCCATTGTGATTAGAAAGATACTTTGCATGACTTCTGTCTTCTTAAATCCAATAACACTTAATTTGTGGCTGAGCATATGCTTTCTCCTGGAAAATGTCCCATGTGCAATTGAGAAGAATGTATATTCTGTTGCTGTTGGGCAGAATATTCTGTATATTCTGCTAGATCTACTTGGTTTATTGTGTTGTTCAGGTCCTCTATTTCCTTACTTTGGTGTGTTTATTCCATATTATTGAGAGTGGGGCATTGATGTCTTCAACTATTATTTTAGAACTATTTCTCCCTTCAGTTCTGTCAGTTTTTGCTTCATAGGTTTTGATGGTCTGTAATTTAACAGAGGTTTTATCTGGTCAAAGGTGCCTAAATGTTTATAATTATTATCTTTTCTTGTGTCTTGAACCTTTTATTAGTACATAGTGTCTTTCTTTGTTTCATAACCTTTTTTGATGTAGTCTCCGTTGTCTCATATTAGTATAGCCACCCCTGCTCTCTTTGGATTACTATGTGCATGGAATGTGTTTTTCCATTTTTGCTATTTGCTTGCTATATGCCTTGTAGCTTTTTTGTCCCTCATTTTCTGCATTACTGTCTTTTGTATTCGGTTGGCTTTTTGTAGTGAAATGTTCTGATTTGTTGGGTTTTTTTGGGGGAGCGGTTTTGTTTCATTTTGTTTTGGTATACTTTCTAGAGGGCTTTGTTTTTGTTTTTTTTTTTAGTTAATCATGGGGTTCACATTTAACATATAAAATTACAACAATTAATTTGAATTTATGCCAGCTTAGCTTCAATCATATTTTTTTAAACTCTGCTTCTATATGACTCTTGTCCCCATCCCTTTTAGTTATTGATGTCATGAAATTACATCTTGTGTGTGTTGTATGTCCAAAAATTTAGGTCAATAATTGTTATTTATGTGTTAATCTCTTAAATGTAGAAAACAAAAGGTGGAGTTATAAACCCAAGTTACTAGTTTTTATAATTGTCTGTGTATTTAATTTAACAGAGATCTTTATTTGGTCAAATGGCTTTGAGTTACTATCTAGTGTCCTTTCATCTCAACCTGAAGGACCTCCATTAGCATTTCTTGCAGGATACATCTAGTAGTAAAGAACTCCTTGGCTTTTATTTATCTGCAAGGTCTTAATTTCTCTCTCATTTTTGAAGGACAGTTTTGCTTGTTACAGGATTCTTGGTTTTTTTCTTTCAACACTTGGATATATCAACCCACTGCCTCTGGCCTCTGTGGATTCTGATGAGAAATCTGATAATCTTTGGAGATCCATTGTATGTGATGAGTCGCTTCTGTCTTGTTGCTTTCAAGATTTTCTCTTTGCTTTTGCTTTTGACACTTGGGTTATAATGTGCCAAGTGTGAGTCTCAGAGTTTAGCCTGGTTGGAGTTTGAGCTTCTTAGATGTTAATATTTGTGTCTTCCATCAAATTTGGGAAGTTTTCAGGCATTTTTTCTTCAAATAAGCTCTCTGTCCTTTTGTTTCCCTCTTCTTCTTCTAGACTAACACATTGCATATATTGGTTTACTGATGGTATTCCATAGGTTCTTATGTTCTGTTCACTTCTGGTCAATCCTTTGTCTTTCTTTTCTTCAGATTTGATATCTTCAAGTTCACTGATTGTTTCTTCTGACTACTCAAAGCTGTTTTTGTATCCCTCTACTGAGTTCTTTCATTCAGTTATTATACTTTTCAGCTTCAAAATTTCTTTTTGATTATTCTTTATGTTTCCTATCTCTATTGATATTTCTGTTTTGGTCATGCAACATTTTCTTGACTTTGTCCACATTTTCTTTTAGCCCTTTGAGCATCTTTTAGACAAATATTTTAAAGTCTTTGTCTAGGGGCACCTAGGTGGCTCAGTTGGTTAAGCGTCTGCCTTTGGCTCAGGTCATGATCCTGGGTCCTGGGATCAAGCCCCACATCGGGCTCACTGCTCAGTGGGAAGCCTGCTTCTCCCTCTCCTGCTCCCCCTGCTTGTGCTCTCTATCAAATAAAATCTTAAAAAAAAATAAAGTCTTTGTCTAATAAGTACACAATGTGGTCTTTCTCAAGGACAGTTTCTCTTGATTTTTTTTTTTTAGAATGGGTTAACTTTCCTGTTGCTTTGTATGTCCTGTGACTTGTTGTTGTTGTTGTTGTTGAAAACTGGACATTTGGAGGTTGTTTGTTTGTTGAATGGTTGTAGGGTGTCTATACTGGAGATCAGTCTGGGGTGTAAACTTAAGGTCTTCTGTTTTTTTTCTGAGACTGTGCCTGTCCTTGGGCATGTATGATGATTTTCTCTATTCCTCCATGTATGTGATTTTGAATATCCTAGTCCTTGAATTTCTGCCTCCAAAAAGGGGAATAAGAGAAATGTGAAGGGAGGGTGGTAGAGGGATAGACATCTGCCCTTTAAATCCCCTGAGTCAGGGGAGGGAGAGGTTTTGCAACAATGACTGCCCACCTGTATGTCACATCTCCACCATCAGAAGCACATATCTGTGTTACTTGGAGGACAGAGTCCTCATTGCCCACCCTGGCTCCAGCAACCTCCTCCAGGAAAATGTGCATGGCTGCCTGCTGGGGCTCAGAGTTAGACAAGTTGGGACATGGATAACTTACACAATGCTAAGAGCTGATATTGACCCAAATTAAAGCAATTTAGCATGTTGCAAGCCTTCATTAGACTGTAGAGTTGCAAAATAGTTACATCAGATTGATTCTGTCAGTGCATTTGTGATCCAGGTGAGGAGACAGGCTCCAGGTGCTTACTCTCCCACCATCTTCCCTCTAACTCAGCCTGGAGGTACTTTTTGTAGTATCTTTCCTGTGATCCGTTGTGTGCTGAGTTGTTTCAGGCCAATATTAACCACTGACCTGTCCTGTCTTACCCTTAGGATTTAGATCTTCCAGGTCCCATGCAGTTGCTCTGCTGGGGTTAGGGGAAGAGTCCCCTATGCTTCCAGTCTCCACAAGATGGGCCCCCAGAGGGCCTAACCCAGGTGAATGATAGCTGGGGGAGAATGTGATATCAGAGCTTTGTTCAAATCATACCAGGAACCTGTCATGTTTGACTTGTGTTTTGGTGCCATTGCTGGTGGCCAAAATTCACTTCTATCTTCCCTTCTCCATTCTTGACACTTTGCTGACTTGTCATTTTTATTCTTTCTCTAGGCCCAGGCTAATCCCCACCTCTGTGGACCTTTTTTCTCACTCATTCTTCACACTCTTCTCTCCACAGTGATTTTCAACATTGTTGTACTCTAAAATATGCACATATCTTTTAAGAATTCTTTTTTTTTTTTTAAGATTTTATTTTTATTTATTTGACAGAGAGAGGCACAGTGAGAGAGGGAACACAAGCAGGAGGAGTGGGAGAGGGAGAAGCAGGCCTCCCGCCGAGCAGGGAGCCCGATGCGGGGCTCGATCCCAGGACCCTGGGATCATGACCTGAGCCAAAGGCAGATGCTTAACGACTGAGCCACCCAGGCGCCCCAATTCTTTTTTTTTTTTTTTTTTAAGAGAGGGGTGGGGGGCAGAGGTTGAGGGAGAGAAAGAATCTTAAGCAGGTTCCACACGCAGCACGGAGCCTGCCATGGGGCTCGATCTCACTACCCTGAGATCACAACCTTAGCTGAAATCAAGAGTCAGATGCTTAACTGACTAAGCCACCCAGGCACCCCATCTTTTATTTATTCTTAAAACCATTTATTTTTTTCCAGTCAGATTTTCCTACATGTGGACATAGACTTCTGCACAGCATCACATGTTACCAGCAGATGTAATCCTGCTAAAAGCCATTAACATGAGTTGTAAAACATGTGTTTCACCCTGGCCCAACCCTTTCCTTGTATCCTGTGCCCAGTGAGGACTTCCCAATTCTTGACCTTGGGAAACCCAGTAGTACAAAGCAGCTGCTTTCAAAACCTAACCCCAACTTCCTTTTCCTGAAAACAGTTCCGTATACTGGTTCTTTAATGTGTCAGATGTACATTTGTGATGGTTTTTGCTCCTTCCCAATAAAGTCAACATGTATTTCATCATCACTTCTTTGCTTTCAGGTTGTTGGCATGGAGTGGAGGATGAGGATGCACCTTCTGAAGAGAGCATTTCTATAGGAGTGTCACAGATTGGGGCTCTCAAGGCAGTTTCATCTTTCCAGAAGGCCCAGCCCTTTGAACTGCATGGCCCAATCTTGAGAAACATTTTGTACTTGGCTGAGCACCAGGAAACATATCTTGGGGAAGAACCATATACATGTAGGAAACAATTCTGTTTAACTGCCAATCTTCAACAGTTCCAGGGGCAGCACACTAGAGAGATACCCTTCAGAAGTTATGTGGACAGAGCCTCCTTTATAAAGAACTGTACAGTCCACGTGTCAGGGAAGCCCTTTACCTGTGAGGAGACACGGAAGGACTTCTTAGCCAGCGTGGGATTTCTCCAACAACAGGTCACTCACACTGGGAGGAACCCGAACAATGAGTGTGAGGCTGTCTTTCACAGTGGTAGAAGTCATCACAACTGTGGAGAATGCAAGAAAGCCTTCAGCTACACAGACACACTTGCTCAGGACCAGAGAGTTGTCACTAGAGAAGGAATTTATGAGTGTGGCAAATGTGGAAAAGCCTGTACCCGAAGATGTAACCTCATTCAACACCAGAAAGTCCACACTGGAGAAAGACCTTACGAATGCAGTGAATGTGGAAAATTCTTCACCTATTATTCCAGTTTCATTATACATCAGAGAGTTCACACTGGAGAAAGGCCCTATGAGTGCAATGAATGTGGGAAATCCTTTAGCCAAAGCTACAGCCTCAATAGCCATAGGAAAGTTCACACTGGAGAGAAGCCTTATGAGTGCAGGGAATGTGGAAAATCTTTCAGCCAAAGGTCCAACCTCATTCAACATCAGAGAGTTCACACTGGAGAAAGGCCTTATGAGTGCAGTGAATGTGGGAAGTCCTTTAGCCAAAACTTCAGTCTCATTTACCACAGGAGAGTTCACACAGGAGAAAGGCCTCATCAGTGCAGTGAATGTGGGAAATCCTTCAGCCGAAGCTCCAGCCTCATTCACCACAGGAGACTTCACACTGGAGAAAGGCCTTATGAGTGCAGTAAATGTGGGAAATCCTTTAAGCAAAGCTCCAGCTTCAGTTCACATCGGAAAGTCCACACAGGGGAAAGGCCTTATGAGTGTGGGGAATGTGGAAAATCCTTTAGCCATAGCTCCAACCTCAAGAACCACTGGAGAGTTCACACTGGAGAAAGGCCTATTGAGTGCAGTGAGTGTGGAAAGTCCTTTAGCTGCAAATCTAACCTCGTTAAACACCTGAGAGTTCACACTGGAGAAAGGCCTTATGAGTGTGGGGAATGTGGAAAATCCTTTAGCCAAAGCTCCAGCCTCATTCAACATCGGAGAGTTCACACTGGAAAGAGGCCTACTGAGTGCAGAGAATGTGGGAAATCCTTTAGCTCCAAATCTGACCTCATTCAACACCAGAGACTTCATACTAGAGAAAGGCCTTAGATGTACAGGGCTGTGCAGTTTCCTTTTAGATAATTACACTGGAGGAGAGATGTTGTGAGGAAGCCATCTACCTAAATTTAAGCCTGTACATGTTAAAATCCACAATGGGGAGATCTCCCTTTAGTTGAAGTATGTGTGAATCTATAACTGTCTAGGGATCTTGCCTGATTTATGTCACTACCAGTTTCCGTGGAAGAGTTTTGTCACCTCTACCACTCAGCACGTTCATACAGTGTGCATTAGTACATTAGTTAACCACCACAATGTGCTCAGGGAAGCTGCCTCTTTCCCTCCCCTTCTGCTGGAGGAAATCATGATTATTCTTAGCCCTTATAGGGTCTTCATTCTCTTCTCATGTAGAAGTTAGGGCATGGCCCAGTGGACCCAATCTGAGTTCTGCTGGTAACTTGCCAAGAAGGACCGCATTTTCACGGATGTGTTAGTTTTGTGCGACACTCCTCTTGGATTTTCCTATCCTCCAAGTCACCAACCTGGGATCTCCCTGCCTCATATTGCTTTGGATTTTATAGTAATAAAGACATTATTGTTGGGGTTCTATTCACTGTGTGAGGTGATTTGAAAATGGCTGGGCTCTGCCAGCATAAAGGAGTGAACAGCTTTGCTGGGGTTCCCAATGCTTTGTGTGCCTCAGAGATGACAGTCTGATGAAAGAAAATAGCTCTCTTTCCAGCTTTGGCCTAATTTACATGGTTGCCTGAGGTCTCCTAGGAAAGACTGCAGGGCCTTGTCCTAATTTATGGACTGGGTATCAGAATTTTTTTGTGGGCTCAGAGAACACTCCGAAGAGTCAGGAAGTTGTGACAACCTCCAGTGCTTCTGAGAACTACACGAATTGTTTTTCTTTCACAGTGGATGTCATATAATGCTCAGTAGTGTTGAGGGGAATCTCTACCCCATGTCCTGCAAAGGAGCCATGTGCCCTGATACCCAGAATTCTCTAGGCTAGTGTCATGGTGAGAACACAGGGCCCTGGGGGAACTATAATCGGTACAATAACACTGCAGTGGAGAAGACTGCAGCAAAGTAGATGGCATGTGCCCCTTCTAGCATTGCGTCAACAAATGCTCCAGTGACTGACTGTGCAGGCTCAGTGTGCCCAGAAACTCTCAGGACCTCCAGGTATGTGCATCTTTTGTGGCTGAGATCTTTGTCAAAGAAAATAAGCTGTTGGTTTTGTGGATTCCCATAGCCTTTCTGGTAGAGTTCACCTAAAGGCCAATTCTACACAGATAGGAAAACAAGCATACAGAGAAAGGAGATCCCTTAGTCCCTCAGTGTGGCTCTGTGACCTAGCCAAAATTCCTGTTCACTGAGTGCAATGGATTTACTTGCTCATAAATATTTGCTACCACTAAGGCAAGGCTGCTCCTCCAAGGTCATCAGGAAAGAGACAGAGTCAATATAGGGCTGCCAAACCTGATTTTATGAAAAGAGTGGGAGACCTAGGGTTTTGTATTTTTCGTTTGTTTGTTTTTTTGGAACTATTTCATAGAACTTTATTCAGGTATAGTTGACATGCAATATACTGCACCTATTTGAGGTGTACAGTTTGTTAAATTTTGACATACGTATAAACCCACAAAACTTCATCATAATCATGATTATGAACATGTCCGTCACCCCTAATTTGCCTCATGTCATTTTATAATCTGTCTTTCCCGTCCCCAGGCAACCTTTGATTTACCTTCATTTATAATAAATTAGTTTGTATTTTCTAGAATTTTATATGATCTGAGTCATAAAGTGTTTATTTTTTGGTTTCATTCATGATTTATAATTATTTTGAGATTCTTGAATGATGCTTATATAAATATTTCACTCTACTGCTGCATAGTATCTTTTCTATGGATATACCACTTGTTTATCCATTCATCTGTTAGGGACCTTTGGTACTTCGTTTTGTCGATTGCAAATAAAGCTGCTAGAACATTTGTGTATAATTTAATATATATATATATAGTTTTCATTTCTCTTGTGTTAGTAATTCAAAGTAAAATGCCTGAGTCATAAGATAGGTGAATATTTAACTTATTAAGAAACTGCTCAAACTGATCTAAAATGATTTTTTGCTTTTGCATGCTCACCAGGAGTGCATGAGTGTTCCAGTTCTTTCACATCCTTGCCAGTACATGGCATCAGTCTTTTGGTTCAGTCTTTGGAATTTACCCTTTTAACAAGCAAGCAGTAAGTTTAATCGCATTTCCCTAAGGATTTATGATGTTGAACATTTTTTTCTTGTGTTTGTCATCTGTATATCTTCATGATAAAATGTCTATTCATATCTTTTGCCTGTTTTCTTTTTTATGAATTGTGGCTATTTCCTTTTTTATTAACAAAGAAACAGCTTATTTTTGTTCCTCAGGTGTTTTTGTGCTATGTACAAGGTAAGATTACATACACCACACACTTTTAAGTTTAATCTGCATTATTTACATATTTTCCATTACGTTCTGAAGTCTAGACTTTCTGTAATACATGTAAGTCCTGGTTTGTAGTGTCTTTCAAGTTCTCTGGTGTAAATACTCCCACTATGGCCAATTTCAGGCTGTCAATGTGATGTCACTGAGCTCAGTTGGGAAGAGTCACCACAGGCACAGCATTCTATTTCCAGCCTTCTGATCCAGTAGCTGCAAATAACCTGTAGAACATAGACGATAATAAAACATACTAAAATGATTAAGACATGGCAAGTTGAGAAGATTTATTTAAGAGTTATAATTAACAACTATAAACTGCACATAGTTAAGATGTACATTTTCTTTATTATGTTATGTTAATCACCATACATTACATCATTAGTTTTTGATGTAGTATTCCATGATTCATTGTTTGCATATAACACCTAGTGCTCCATGCAGAACATGCCCTCTTTAATACCCATCACCAGGCTAACCCATCCTCCCACCCACCTCCCCTCTAGAACCCTCAGTTTGTTTTTCAGCGTCCATCGTCTCTCATGGTTCATCTCCCCCTCCGATTTCCCCCCTTCATTCTTCCCCTCCTGCTATATTCTTCTTCTTTTTTTTTTTTTTTAACATATAATGTATTATTTGCTTCAGAGGTACAGATCTGTGATTCAACAGTCTTGCATGCTTCACAGTGCTTACCATAGCACATACCCTCCCCAGTGTCTATCACCCAGCCACCCCATCCCTCCCACCCCCCACCACTCCAGCAACCCTCAGTTTGTTTCCTGAGATTAAGAATTCCTCATATCAGTGAGGTCATATGATACATGTCTTTCTCTGATTGACTTACAAGGTACACATTTTAATGTTTTGATATTGATACATCCTTAACATCCCTGAAACCAAAAATTTCATTGAAAACATAAAAGAAGATCTGTAATACTGATGATAATTCAGTTAAATACTTCAACTGTCCAAGAAACAAAATCAAAGCAGGCAAGATATCTGAAATACAGGAAATTCTTGGAAAAAAGTCAAACTTTGGAGATGTTTTTCTCACAAAGGATCAGCAAGAATACAGATTAACAGTTGAGATGCAATTTGCCAACATTTTATTTTGGGGTTAAAGTGTGTTTTTATTATGAGCCCTCTGGAAATTTGTATCTTTGTTTTTGTTGACAGAAAAACCATGAATAATCCAACATAATTCTCAGGTCGGGGTTCCATAAAATGATTGGCGGATTTCAGTAAATTTGAAAACATCCAGAGGGAACATTTAAAGTGTTACTATGCTCTCCACATTCTTGATATTACCACCTATATTTAACTGAGGAACACGTCTTAGCCTCTAATTTCTAAAGTTTTCCAGTACATATAAATTAAGGTTTATTGAAATCTCTCACATTTCGGTTACCCATATTTGGTATGTTTTTAATAACAAGAATACAAGTAGCACTCGTGTTTGGAGAAGATGATAGCTGTCTGTTGTCTCCCTGCCTCAGATCTAGGGCTGGATCTCAGAACACATCTCACTAGCTATAATCACAGCTGTCCATAGGCATCTGGCAGAGGCTAAATGCATTTGTGTAAATATAGCCTCATTTATTTAAATGAAAAATTTAAAGTAAGTTCAAAGATGACATAAGAACAAAAGGAAGTAGTAGGCAAACGTCAGTAGGCAAAACAACAATTGAATCAATTAAATAAAAGAAACTGGAAAAGGGCCAGGAATCATTTTGAAGATGTATCAAGAATATATTTAACATACAAATTAGGTAAGGTTCATTGACATGTAGGAGGTAACCAATTTTGTTAACATCTGAGAAACCACAGTAGATATCTAAGAATCCTCAGAGGAATGTCATTTCATGGTAAGCTACTGCTACCTTGGTCCCACCTATTAAAGTCCTTATACTCACATAATTGAAATGAATGAAGCCATTCATTCGTCTGCTTGCAAATATTTTGCTGTTCTGTGTGCTCTATTCAGTGCCTATTTCAGCAACCTTTCAATCACATTCACTCTCAAAGGTGAATTCAACAGTGTATCACTTTATTCAGTTTCCTGTGGGATACCTCAAGTTCAGCTATCACATACAACCTCTACTGGCAAAACCCTAATTGGTTTTAGCTATCCCCAGGCACCCATGTATAGCACTACATTGATGACATCTTCCTCCGAGAGAACTTACTAGACAAACAGGATATGAAAACAATCACTGTTGCACTTACAGAGAGCAGATGGGCTCTTGCCCCACTCCCCATAAAGTTCAAGGTCATGCCACCTCAGTGAATCTTAGGTTCATCTAGTGTGCCTAAGGGCCACTCTACTCCTGATGTCATTAAGAGGCAACTTCTAATTTTGTCAGCTTCAGTAGGTCTCAAGCAGGCCAAACTGAGTCTTTCTGGCTTCTGAAAGCAACATATTCTCCATGTACAGATACTACTAAGGTTTATTATGCACTCACCCACAAATCAGCCTACTTTGGGGATCTTTACAACAAAAGGCCCTGGATTCAGTTCAGATGGCCATACAACAGGCCCATCTCTTAGTTGCCTACTGGCAGCTACGTGATGGAAGTTCTGGTGCTCACCTCCTATGTTTCTTAGAGTTTCTGGACCACTCATGCTGGCATAATTTACCTATAAGCTTTTCTGGTGCAAAAAGCTGCCTGTTTCAACTCCACATTACATGCCCTTTGAGCAACAACTGCTGGCTGTATGCTGAGCCCTTTTAGAAATGGAGGCTCTCACGGGACCTGAACCTGTGACCCTCTGCACTCAGTTACCCATCATTTCCTGGGTCATGAAGGCAACATCCCATAAGCTTAGCCTGACCATCAAGGCTTTGATAAGGGATGGAGCCAAACCTGGACCCTCTGGTGTATCCCACCTAAAGGAAGAGGGCCTTACCTGTCCTCAGTCTCTGGCCAGAGGCCACATTGCTGAAGGAGGGCACCCTCCTCCTGGACCCTTGATTTCCTGGGGATACCTTTACGATCAACTAAGTGAACAACAAAAGAGGATCACATACTTTATTGATAATATTGCCACCAGTACATGTGATGGAATTCTCTGGAGAGCTGCTTGCTTTTCTTCCTCTAAACAGGACATCCCTGAAAATGGACCCAAGAGTCAATACAAGTGGCTTAACTCCAGGCAGTCATCTTAGCATTGGGGGATGCCTGGCCAACAAATGACTCCAATGACACTTCACAGACTCCTGTGCAATTGCCACTTCTTTGGTGCAACCAAGGGCAATAATTTCTCATTCGAGACTTCCCCTTCTGAGGTGAAGACCTTTACCCCAAAGATGCTAATTAACGTCACCTATGTCTGCCCATGCCAAATTTCATGCTTTTAGGGCCTTGTTTAATTCCCAAGCTGATAGATTGGGATAACTTTCAAAACCTTAGGTGGCATCTTTGTCAGATGACCCTCCAGATCCCATTTGTCTTTCTTTGGCACAATGGACCCATGAAATATCAGTCACAGAGGAACCTCAGCCCTTGAAGCTTGGGCTAAATTCAAAGGGCTTCCCCCACTTTCCTGTCATGGCCAACATGGTGACAAATCAATGCACTCTATATGGGAACACTGTCATTGGCAATACAATGGAGGGGTGCCATCCCAGAGGGATCTCACTCCTATAGTCACCAGCAAATCAGTTTTATTAGGCGTCTGCTTGCCTCTGCCAACGCCACTTATTAT